AGCCTGCGAGCTCAGCCAGCCCCAGCCCGCCCGCCGGCCTAGGCCAGCCAGCTGGGCCCTGTACGTCTGGCTCATCCCCTGCCGGGGCAGGAAGGAGGGCACCAAAGTCGCTCGGCGGCCGACGGGCCGTACCATCTCGCTAGCCCAGCCTGCCACACGAGAAGCCCCTGGGAGTGGAGTCCTAGCTCCGGGGTCGCTCTGGACATGCGGGGCTGCCCCCGGGTTATTGCCCCTGGGGTCCCTGAGCCCCGGCCTGGCAGCCCGAAGCCGGGGAGGTGCTGGGCAGGCTGCAATGCCTGTGGGCCTGGCCCCCCCGCTGTTGCGCTCCCACGTGGCAGGAAGCAGCTCTGGTTGCTCTCCGCGCTGCCCTTCAGGAGATCCCGGGGGTGCCGCAGGCTGGCACGTGCCCCAGTGGGTTTGGTGCCAGGCATGCAGTGCTTGGGTGAGGCTGTGCCCAGCCTGCATTGGTGCCCCTAGTGCATCTGCGTGGCCTGATGCCCTGAGCAGAGGTGTGCACAGCCCATGGGAGAGGCCGGCTGCAGAGCCTCCAGGCCGTGGGCTGGGCCGGAGTTCCTGGGGGCCGGCAATCGCTCAGGGTTATGGCCCAGCCCCTGCGGGAGGGGAGCGGACCCGAGCGCTACCGGGGGTGGCAGCTGCCCAAGTGAAGTCATCGCGGGGGAGAGATTAATCTAATCTCCCCGGGGACGCAGACTGCTTCCTGGCACAGAGACCTGCTCATCCTATTACACTTGGCAGGTGCTGGCGGGGTGAGGTGCTTTGTCACTCACTCCAGTCCCTTCCCCCCGGCCGGGCTCCCGCAGGCTGGGCAGGGGGCCCAACCGCTCTAGGGAATGAATCAATGAAACCTGCCGGGGCGGCACTGAATGGCTGCACATTTATCAATGGAGGGACGGAGAGGAGCTGCCCAGGGAGACACAGCCAGGCAGGTCCTGGGCCCCCTGTCCCAGCCACCCTCGGGGCACACACTGGAGTCCGGCCGCTCCCCTTAGCATCACCCGCGGGTGACCAGCTTCCCCGTCGCCCACGGCACACCCGGCTCATCCCTCGTCCATGCGCCGGCACCGCGTCTCTCTTGTGCGCCAGGCCTGGCTCAGGCGGGAAAGCCAGAGCCCGGCCGGCTGAGGGCCTGTTGGTCCTTCGGGGGGAGGACTTCTGCCCCAGCTGTTCCCCGGGTGCCGATTGGTGCTGGTGCAGGGGGGGTGAGTGGCACCGTGGCAGCTGGTGCCTCTCCGGGCTGTTCTCCGGGCAGTCTCCTGCTTTGGCAGAAGGGAATGTGTGAGCCGAACCCCTGGGTTAGTGGTGCCAGGCGCCTCCCTGAGCCCGGCCACAACAGGCCTTTGCCAGGTGTGGCACAGGCTTCAGCCGCGGATGGTGTGACAGAAGCAGCAGTTCTGGGAAAGGAGCCTGTCCCGAGCTGCCAAAGGCAGTGACCTAGTTTAGAGGCTCAGGTTTTCGAAGCCAAATGACGCCGCTGACTCTTCCGGGCCCGCGTGGCAGTTGGCCCAGCCCAGCGAGCAGAGACGCATGGTCTGACGTCATCAGAGGCTGCGGCAGAGCCCGGGCAGCGTGGCCCCAGGGGCGCTCAGGGCTAAGGCAGGAAGGGGGCAGACTCTGCCCACCAGCTCATGCCCTTGCGGTACTCCCAAGTGGGACCCACAGGCTGCGGGCTTCCGCTCAGGCCCATGGCTGGAGTTGGCACATGGGCTAGTGTAGGGTCAGCAGGCAGGAGGGGAGCATACAGCGGGGGGGCTCAGAGAGGGCCCTGAAAACACCAGTGCTCCCCCTCAAAGCCAGGCCAGAGAGCTGCGCAGCCTGGGGCCAGAGCTGCCTCCGGCCTGGTGTAACGATGCTGGTTCTGGCGGGACCCAACTGAGAGTGCCAATTCAGGACAAATTGCTTAAAACAGGGCAGTTACAGCCCAAGGAAGTCACACAAGCAATTCCCTTAGACACTCCAGTTTCCCAGTATCACCACCAGTGTCACTCGTTATGGGGACGAATGGTTATGAAAACCAATACCCAAGTAAAAGAAAAA